GCTGTGCTGTGCTGTGCTGTGCTGTGCTGTGCTGTGCTGTGCTGTGCTGTGCTGTGCTGTGCTGTGCTGTGATGATATGCCATGCCCTGCTGTGCAGTGATGTCCCATAAATTATGGTGTCAGGCTGTGCTAAGCTGTAACATGCTGTGCTTTAAATGGCATTGTTTGTTATGCTGTGCAAGTATGAACCTGTGCTGTGTTCTTTACTGTAATATACTCTATGACATGCTTTGTTGTGCTGTGCAAATACGAACCTGTGCTGTATTCTTTACTCTAATATACTATATGGCATGCTTTGTGCTGTGTGATTTACATGCACATATGTATATACGTACATACTTGTACATAGTATTCGTACGTAAATATAGTTTTTTTTAGATGCAAGAATCAGATTTTAATAATACAGTGGCTAACAAATAAGTCATCAGCTTAACTGTAGCTCAAATATAACTATATTTTTTCCAGGTTTTGAAAAGTTTATGCTTGTAGCAGAGAGTCTTACGAACCTCATCTTTCCTTTCGTATGGCAGCATGTATATGTCCCTATCCTTCCAGCATCACTTAAACACTTCTTGGATGCACCGGTACCATTTCTCATGGGCTTATATTGTGAGACAGAGAAAGATAAACAGAACCTACAACTACCATCAGAGGTATGTTTATTTATTTATTTATTTATTTCCCAGTCTGTTATATACTAAGAATCGTGCGTTCTGATTGGCTGGTCGAGTGGGTGGTATTTTCTATACCTCTTACTGAGGTCCTGTATCTTGAGATTGCTAAATTGAAACAACCCACAAAAAACAAGTAAAAAAAAATTTATTCACAGTATCTAAAATTGGTCTGAATCAATGGATCTCAGCTGAGAAACATCTGTCCATATGTTCAAGACCTCAGACATGGTTTCAGTGCAGGGGCGACAGATGCTGAAAATCTTTGAGGGGGGGACTGAAATATTATATTTAACACTATGTAATAATGACCACTGTTTTGTTTGAGTGCAGGACGCATGCACCACATAACTATGACTGAGAACCCAAATTTCGTGGGGGGGGGGGGGGGGGGGGGTGGGGGAGGGGGCATATGTCTCCCGGCGCCCCAGGTTCAGCCACCCCTGCAGTGAACAAATACCATGAGACCTAGACAACACAGAATGCCCAATTTCTTTAGGAAGCATTTTTTTCATCCAACTTTCTCCCCCTAGCAATGTTAAATAGACCAGCTCTTATGTGCCAATGAGAGTTAGACAAAACGACATAGATTACGGGAGTGATATTTATAAATAAATGCAATGATCATTTGTTTTATTATTTTTTTATTAATTTTATTAAAAACTTATTGATGATTCATGAAGCAAAACAATACTTTGAATTTCTTCAAGAATTATTAAAATAATGTTTGAAATGAAAAGCCATATCAAGCACTTGGAAGAGTRTTTTATTCTCTATTGTCTTATCCAAACACTCTTCAACTTATATGTAGTGTATGCTATACATCAAGTGTATAAGCAGATTAAAAAATCTGCCTCAGTTGGGTTCTCGTGGGACTTGAACCACTGACCTCTCGTTTGCTAGATAAGATCTCAACCACTTGGCCACTGAGGCTTTACGGGAGAAGGTCATGTTAGATCTAAATTTTAAATCAAAACTGCGCATGATCTCTTTAACTTGTTTTTACAACTCGTTTCTTGATGTTTTGAAATCAGATGAAGCATTCTTTCATGTGTTTGATATATTATTAGGAATACATTATTTACAGTATGCTTGAAATTTTAAAAGGATTATTATTTTTTAATCCAACAGGCTTCACTTTGCTTRGTTGACATAGAAAACTGTAATGTTACAACACCAGAAGATTTACCAGAATTCCCMAACAAACAAGATTTGATTCATGAACTGAAAGAAACTATAGAGAAATTTAATGTACCTTCAGGTCAAGAAACTCCTTTGAATAGCCGAGCAAGTAGTGAAGGCAATAGTCTTGAAACCTCTCTAGAAGTACCYCAAAACAGCTCTTTTCTCAGCAGTTCTGGGATAAATAATAGTACTGAGAATGAGAGTGGATTTGGAAGTGCTTCCGGTTCACCTAGAAACTCAATATCCTACTCTCCAAACTCTCAACGAAAAATGAATCAAAGAGAATCTCCCAGAGAATCTCCCAGAGAATCTCCCAGAGAATCTCCTAGAGAATCTCCCAAACTTGGGAGACGAGATAAGCCTGTTGCAAGAGTAAGACCTCGGCGGACTTCTACAGAGAGGGCTATTAAATCCAAGTCTGCGACGTCACTGGATTTGTCGAAGAATCCAAGGCTTCAAGCTATTGCAGCCATCGCAGAGAGAACAGGGATTATGGCACCAATGTCATCAGTTGTTTCTAACCTAGAGAAGTCAGCTTCAGATTCACAGCTTGATTCGTACAGCAGAGAAGAAGAAGAGATGTATATATTTGGTGAACCAGCTAAAGAGATAAGCCGYAAACAACAGCATGAAAATGAATTTAATACTGCAATAAGAGAAATATTTGCGAACAGATTTACGCAACTTTTATTGGAGTATGAATCTTTTGTCATTCAACCAACACAAGACTTTGAACAATGGACTTCCAACCGTGAACAAATGCAGAACTTTGACAAGGCATCGTTTCTTTCTGACCAGCCCACTCAGTTTTTACCTTTCTTGTCTCCCTTCACTGAAACTCAGATGTTTTCTAGTTTTATTGATATGAAGATTYTGGCTAACTGGGAAGAATGTGATGCTTCTCTAGCTGTTTTTGATCAAAGAGTTGAAAACATGAAGAACAGGCTTGGTGTGGTGAGGTCGCCTTCTTATGAAAGGTGTATATCACTTAAGAACTCAAGTAAGTCATTTTCASTTTATTGGCCTACAGGTACATGGCTTGGTAACAGTTGCAACATGAATATTGGACAATACACTTACGGAAATCAAATAAATCCTTAGGCAGCGTTCATAATGTATGGGAGGATGGGGGGGCAGGTGA